ATGGCGGCAGAAGCACTGGGACCCTGGGGTGCCCACCCTGCCCTCAGCAAGCCTGATCCGTGGCCCGTGGTGCCCCCAGCGGGTCTCTGTGGGAGCCGTGAGCTGGCTGTGTGCTGTACTGGCCGTATGTTCAGGACCAGGATCTCCACACATGTGCGTGTGTGTCTGTGAATGTGCGTGTGCGACCCTGTGCAGTTGTTGCGTGGCTGTGACCGTCTGGGTCAGGGCTGGTGTGTGTGTCTGCGGTTTCATGCATGGCTCAGTGCATGTGCGCTGGCTTGGGGGTTTCTAGTGCTTGTCTGTGCGATTGTGTGTTTTTGTGTCACTGGCTTGGTTGCACTGCCGTGTGTCAGGGTGTAACTCCCTTTCCGTGCGGCATTTTCTCACTGTGCGATTGTGTGCCTGTAGGCCTGTCTTTCTGTATTTGATTATGGACTTTGGTGTGTTACTACGTGTGTCAGTGTGTGTCCGTCAAGCATGTGTGGGTCTTTGTTTCTGTGAGGAACTGAGTTCGTGTGTATCTGTGTAAAATGTTGTGTCTGTGTTTCTGTGACAGGAGGCTGTACGTGGCCGGCGGTGTGTGCGACTTTGTCGCCTTGTGCATCTGTATGATGCGTGTTGTGTAGGACGTGGTGGTGCACGTGTGACTTTGTTGACACACATCTGTGCGTGTCGTGGGGGACATGGGCATGCATGACTCTGCTGATGTGTGCACCTGAGTGGTGTGTGCTGCGGGGGGACCTGGTGTGTGCGACTTTGTTGATGTGTGCATTGGTGTGGTGCGTGTCGTGGGGGACGTAGCCATGTGTGACTTTGTTGACGTGTGCATCTGTGTGGTGCGTGTCGTGGGGGATGTGGCCATGCGTGACTTTGTTGATGTGTGCACCTGTGTGGTGTGTGTCGTGGGGGACATAGCCATGTGTGACTTTGTTGACGTGTGCACCTGTGTGGTGCGTGTCGTGGGGGACGTAGCCATGTGTGACTTTGTTGATGTGTGCATCTGTGTGGTGCGTGTCGTGGGGGACGTGGCCGTGCGTGACTTTGTTGACGTGTGCATCTGTGTGGTGCGTGTCGTGGGGAACATGGCCATGCGTGACTTTGTTGACATGTGTATCTGTGTGGTGCATGCTGTGGGGGACCTGGTGCGTGTGACTTTGTGTACTGTGCACCCGTGTGGTGCGTGTTGTGTGGCGCACGTGTGCCTGGGATGTGTGGGTCCGTGGTGGTGCTTGCCGGGGAGAGGAGGGAGGCAGCCCGCGCCGCCCAGCCCCTCTCCACACGCCTGGCTCACATGCGCACACACACTCGGTGCCATGGCTGCGGGCTGTGGAGATGGGGGGCGGAGGGGGGGTGGAGGAAGCAAAATAAAATTAAAAATTAAAGCTTGCCCGAAGTCCCCATCCGCACCGCGCCGGCCGGCGGGGAGGGGCGGGGGGTGGGGCGCCACTGGGGCTGGGGCTGTCTGTCCATCTGTCCGGCTGTCCTACCAGGCTGCTGTCTGGCCCTGCAGCCCCGGCCCGCAGGCCCGCTCCCCGCATCGGTCGATCAGCGATCAATGGGGCCAGGGGGGCGCCAGGGGCAGGGCAAGATCAAAGGGGCCCCAAGAGACGGACACTAGGACGGAACAGAGACGTGGATATGGAGACAGAGATACAGAGATCTAAAGACAGGGTATACAGAGACAGAGATGAGGAGACAGAGACAAAGACATGGAGACAGGGGTGTGGACACATGAAAAGACTCAGGAAGACAAGGGAGCAGAGATGTGGAGACCCAGAGACAAAAACCAAGCCATGTGGAGACAGATGCAGGGACAGCGAGGTGGAGCTGCAGGGACAGAGGGAGATGCGGAGACCCAGGGACAGCCCAGTGGAGCCCGCCAGACTCCAGAGGCAGGGCAGCAGCCAGGCCGGCAGGCGGGCGGGGCAGGGCAGGGATCCAGGGGGCGGGGTCCGGGGCCCAGGTCCCCGTGGGGTCTGACATGGGACAGAGGCTGGGCACAGAGACGGGAGAAGTGGCAGTAGAGACCGGGAGATGGCAGAGACCCGTGTGAGAGACGGCGGGGGGAGCGTGGGAGCAGGGCCCGGAGCGCCGATCCCACGGCTCCTCGTTATAACGTGTCCGGAGGAGGCGGCGGGGAGTTGAAAGCGTCGGGAAGAGAAATCAAAACCAACACGGAAATGAGAGGGGCCACGGGTCCGGGACACGAACCGCGGTCGGACAGAGACAGAGATGGTGAATTGAGAGAAAGGGGGGGGAGAGAGAGTAGGGGGAAAGTCAGGGAGAGATGGGAGAAGTGGGGGACGGGGGAGCTGGACTTGGGAAAGTGATGGGGGTGGGGTGGGCAAGAAACAGGAAAGGAGACTGAGCAACAGAGGAAGAGACTAGAGAAATGGGGAGAGAAGGAGAGACCACAGAGATGGGAGAGAGACCCCGGGTGGAAGAGAAACAAGGGAAGAGAGGACATGGAAATGGGAGAGCGGGTGGGAGGAGATGCAGGGGGGGAGAAGACCAAGTGATGGGGAGAGACAGAGATAAGGGGGGATATGGGGAGACAGAGGGGTCAGAGAGAGAGACAGGAGAAGGGGTGAGAGAAAGAGATGGGAAAAGGAGTGGAGTAGCAGTGGCCTGGGGCAGGGGGACCCCAGGAGGCAGGTGAGGGTAGAGGGAGGGTTGGCCCCCAGTGGGGGAGTGCTGGAGCTGGGTGTGTGAGGCCATCCTCAGGCAGGGAGGTGACTGGGGTGTCTTCTGAGGGGACGTGGGGTACCTGAAAAGTCTTGTCCTGTGCCCAAGGGGCGAGGTGTGGATTATGGGGGGACAGAGTGTGGACTACTGGGGTCTGAGGGGTTTCTGAGGGTGTGTGGGATCTTTAGGAAACAGCTCCCCAAATCTTTAGGGGACAGCTGGGCAGATGGCACTACCCAGGCAGGGGGACATGCAGATGCAGCCTAGCCTCTCTGAGCATCTGAGAGGGACGGTTTACGGAGGGCCTCTAATAGGGCGGGGTGTCTGGGGGTGTCTGGGGGGAGTCTGAGGAAAGTGCTGAGTGGTGGGGTCTGGGGGGGACGGGTGAGGGGCTGAAGTGCTGGGGGAGGGACTCCTGCAGTGTCTAAGGAGGGGTGTGGAGGGGTGCAGGGTCTGCGGGTGTGGTGTCTGAGGAGGGGTGCCCGGAAGGGGCACGGTGCTAGAGGATGGGGTGAGGAGGGGATGGACTTTCTCAGGGACTGGAGGTGGCTGAGGACAGGGGTGCTGAGGGAGCGGATCTGAGGAGGGCGTCTGGGAGGGAGGAGATCTGGGCGAAGGAAGGGGTGTCTCAGGGAAGGGGTGTCAGCGGGCTAAGGGGGAGGCAGACAGCGGCTGGTCTTCTGGGTGGGCAGTGGGCTTGAGGCAGGGGCTCGTGGGACGCTCAGACAGGGCACCGAGAGCTGCCCCGTGTGGGGGGAGGGCAGGGGCTGGGCCTGCCCCCCACAGCCGCCCAGTGCCCTGTCCTGGCCAGCTCCGGGCTGCGCGTCTGGGACCAAGCGGGGCGCAGGGGCGCGGGGCGCGGGGCTGTGCGGTGGAGCTGGAAGAGCCAGCCCGGGGGTCAGCCGGGTGGGGGTGGGTTTCGGAGCAAGGTAAATCTGGGACAGCTAGAGAGAGAGGGGGACAGAGGGAGACCCAGAGGCGCAGGGACCCACTCGAGAGGTCAGGCGAGAGACGGGGACAGAGAGACAGCAGCAGAGAGAGTGCGGCGGCGGGGGGGCAGAGCCAGCGAGTGTGAGCGAAGGGTGGCTCAGGGCGGGAGAGGGGCTGGGGACAGATGGGGACGAGGGGCAGAGGCTGCCGGCGGGAGGCAGCCGGCGGAGGGATGTGCGGGGAGAGGGCGGCGCGCCAGGCCGGGTGGGGGTCTGGGAGCGGGGGAGCCCCAGCAGCGCCCGCTGGCTGACCCGTGTCTGTCTCTCCTGCCGGCCCCGTCCCGTGTGTCTGTCCCGGCCTCTGCAGGGCCGGCTCCGCCATGGACTGTAGCTGTGTCTCCCACCTTCTCTTCGCCCCGCCCGCTCTGCCGGCTCTCTGGACCCCCGGTAACTGGCCCGGACCTCCCTGCTCGTTCCCCCAGCCCTCCGGCCTCCCCAGTGAGCCTCATCCCTTCTCTCGGTATCTGTGTGTCTTACTCTTGTCTGTGAGTCCATCTCCCCGGGTTAGAGTCCCCTGAATAAAAACCCTTGGTGAAAAACTTGGCTAAAAACTTCCCAGCCAGATGTCCCTGCTACCTGCCTGCCGGACTCGGGGTCTTTTGGAGGGCGGGCGCAGTACTGAGGCTAGAGAGGGAGGACGAAGGGGGTCCAGGCATTCCT